TGTATATGTTAAAAAAAAAACCTAAAGTGTTAGGAAATCAATTGAGCGAAATCGCCTTAAGATACCGAACGGTTGTAACCAAGGTAGAGGAATTGGCTTATCTCTTATATATATATATATATATATATATATATATATATATATGCGAATATATATATATATATATATATATATATATATATATATATATATATATATATATATATATATATATATATATATATAATGCGAATATATATATATATATATATATATAAATCGAATATATATATATATATATAAATCGAAAAAAAAAAAAAAATATATATATATATAGTCATCCACATACAAGCTGGGACCGAAACTTGATCTATTTGGCATCAGTCGGAGATCCTACCCCTAAGCTATCGGCGCACGGCAGAGAAAGGGAAAATTTAACGTATTATATACGTCATGTATACAAACTTTAATGGCCAGAGCGCTCAATCCGTAAGTGAAGAGCGAGGCGTTAGTAGCAGCAGCAGCCACTGTTTAGAAATTACCCTTTTCTCCACAGTGCTCGATCGGATGGCGAGAGCATAGTCATCCACATACAAGCCTGTTTCGCTGTATCACAGCTCATCGTTGTGGCTAGATGCCTGATTGCTTCCAGCCGGGATCGAAACTCGAAATATAGTCTTAAAGTATGCTACATTTATGATTAAATGAGGGGTGATGTGGTTGTGTTTTAACTTAACTGGTAAATTAGAATACCTTACATTTGGATGTGCAAGTGGTGTGGCAACATAGCGGCACCGCATGAGAAACCGGCGAAACAATCTCAAATTCCTGTTGAGTTCTTCTTACATGCTAATACTCTCGGGAAAGGTATATTTCTTGTCCCCCCAACTACGGGTTAAATGACAAGACAGATTGGGCTTTCTAGCTGTGGTTGACAGCCAGTTTAGGAGAACGACATACAGCAATGAGGATGGGAACAAACAGCAATACGTGGATGACCAGATAGTATAACAGCGGTAATGGTGTGGATTTTACTAGTAAGCGAATGTATAATTAGTGTCAATTTGCAAAGAAAATTCCTGTAGTTGTAATCTACCAATTAGCGTTAATTACATGTGGTTAAGGGAGGAATGTTGTGGATTTTACAAGAGTGAGAATATTTAACTAAATATGGAGAAGTTTATGAAGGATATAATCAAAAATTTAAAAGCATCACCAGTCGCCATCGTCTGTCTTCCTCGAGCCTGTTCTTTTTTGTCCATTCTCCTAACTTAAAGTGTTCTCATTACCTCCCACTTTAAATAATCTCCTCCTGTGTCTTAGTGACTTCATTACCTTGCTACTTGCTTTGAGCGTCTTTAGTCACTGATGTTCTTTATAAACGTCAATATACAGGGTGTCCATAAAGTTCGTGTGCACATTAAAAAATTTATAACTTTTTTCGTATTTGCGATAGAAATAATTCGTAAAAAGGATTAGAAAGAAGTAAATCTATATTTTTTAAGGTTTTATTGAAATTTTATTTAAGTTTCCACATGTCCTCCATCATTAGCAATACAAAGGGTAATACGATTTTGCAGTTCACGGAAAACATTTGCCAACTGATTAACAATAATGCCTGAAATCACATTAGTTATTTTAGCTATACTTAAAACTAGATACATTAAACTTTATAACATTTTTTATAGCTTATTTCTATCGCAAATACAAATAAAGTTATAATTTTTTAAAGGGGACACCCTGTATTTTCAAGGAATCGAAAATCGTTCCAGTCTTATTAAAGCAAAATACACGAAACATTTGATTGTCACCATCGTAATTGTGGGTGTGAGAGTCTTGCAAGTGGCACCCACCGAGCGGGAGACTCCTTATTTCATACGCGTTCGAACCCGCATCTCAATGCATCAGGTTGACACTTTGCTATAACAATACCGGCTGTAGTCATCATCTTCCCGCCACAAAAGTTACTGCGTACGAATATTTAACATACGAGTGCATCGAATCAGATTGTAGCTCCGGGAGGCGGATCCAAAAGATACATCTATCTGTTCACTTAAACCTTTCATTATGAGAAATGAAGGAAGCTATTTTGTATTATTATGTCATGTATGGTCTTCCTTACATTCTCTTTTTTTTCTTTTTCTTTTTCTTTTGTCTGCCTTTATTTCACGAACGATCGCCGGGACCAGTCCGCCTTCCTTATATTTGGATTTCAATGCAGTCTGTTTCAGACATTTTGGCGCCATCGCTTGAATATAATACCACGCTGGAGGGGGTCCGCAACTAAGAGAAACAGAAAAAGACAGTAAAAAAAAAAAAAAAATTGACGGTAAATAAGCGGGAACGAATGCGTGCGCGCGCGTCTTTGTGTGGGAGGGGGGGCTGGAGCCTGGAACTTTGCACGATTTCATGTTCGCTTCCGAAGATTGACGATGGTTTAATTCGTGCCAAATGACAATGGAGAGACGAAAGCGAGAACAGAGGAGAAAGCAGGGCGAGCGATTCCAAGTAGAGAGACGCA